AATGATGTTTGTAAGAAGAAACTTCACTTTCGATTTACACAGAAAATTTATTTCATTCTTTATTTTATTTAGGGCATTATTTGCTGTTAGAAAAATATCTTCCCATTTTTCAAGTAGCTTGTAGAAATCTATAAATCTGTTGTATGGATTTGATTTCATGTGAGATCTTTTATGCCTTTCAGAAGCCTTTTTCTGAGAAAACCTGGAATTTTGTAAAAATTTGTAAATGCAGTGCAGATTAGTGTTCATAGACATGTTCATTCCTTGGTATCTATCATTAAGACCATATGGGTATAAGGTACCATGGCTAATGATACATTGATCTTCAGCCAGCAGCCTCTCCTTATCATCCATAACCAACATCAATATTTCAATTCTTATATTTTCAAAATTATGCTTTTGGAAGTGTTGGATTTCAATGTCGCGCGTATTATTTAACTTAATGTGGGATCTGTGATTGTTCATTCTCATATTCAATGGGGTACTGGTCTGTCCAATATAGGCTAAACTACAGGAGTTGCAAGTAATCTTATAAATTAGATGGCTGTTTTTGCAGAAAGGCTTATTAAAAGTCAGGTTCCCTCCTTCCACCATGCAGGGACAGGTGCGACAGCGCTTATTTTTACATTTGAAGGCCTGGTATTAAAGTACTATTGAGAGGGGCCAACCCCCAGAGTACTGAACAAATTACCCTAAAGGACCTCCTAATAGGGCAACTGATGCGAAAAGGCAACTAGGTATTTCGGCAAAAGGGATTGAAAAGGGAATGACTAGAACACTAGGAAGAGACAGTGAGAAATCTCTAATCCTACTTGCTTCACACGAGTCTCAAGCCATCACATTAACTCCCACCCATGAAATAGCCCCAAATCAAAAGTTGGCACCATATTAAACATCCCAGGGCATATAATCAAGAATGTTGTTAATTCTCAGCTGAAAAGATTCGCTTTAATCTGTTCCAATGTGGCTGGATTTCATTATAACTGTGATCTCTGTGCACCTTGGTAGGGCGGAGTTTACTGCCCAGCCAGGTAACTGCCTATTTAGCCAATATCTTTCTTTAATATTAGGTCCATTAGTATATATATATATATATATATATATTGATAGATAGATAGATAGATGTTTCAAAGCCAGGAAAAATTGGCACACTTGCGAAAATCTCTGGAAGGGCAATGAGTTTACATTGCCCCCTTTCAAGTAGAATATAATAAGATGGGCATTCACTGACAGAAGGGCAAGCCTTTGACTAGCCATAGTATAATAATCATTAAAGAAGAAAATAAAAAAAACTCCCATTTTGCTTGTTTAAGTGCAAGACCAATCTGGGTGTCATGGTACATCACACACAACACTACATTCACATTTTACTACACAAAGGTGTCGTCATAATTACCCGAGAACCTTATGACATGCATCTGTCAACCCAAATGGTTGAATAGGAACAGACCTCGACAAAGCGGGCAACGGCACGGAGTAGGTCTCCATTGATGACTGGGGGTTGCTGAGAGTGAATATCGATGTAATGGAGGATGCAATGGAGGATGTTGAGGATTGGGGCTTGGACCAAGGTTGGACCTTTCTCCAACACCTGTCACAGGTATAAATTTGTTGAAACAAAGTGTCTTCGCAACCCATTCAAAGCAGATATTGCAAAAATGGAACTATACAAACCTCCACTAGGAAAGTGATCACAACTAGTGAGAGATGGGAATATGCATCGTGGAGGTATTTCACAACGCACTTTGTCCACTGGAAACTTTCTTTGCTGAAATTACGATGGCTGTAAAGAGTCATGACCGTAGCCAGATTTTCCAGCTTGCTACTCTTCTCCAAAGATACCTGATCAGGAAAAAACAAATCCTTGCACTTGCACTATTAGATTTCCAAGTCAGAGCGTCTGGGGAAGAACGTTTCTTGAGACGAACCTGAGCGATATTTTCAGCACTGCAGATGCATAGGTCATTTGCATCCTCGTAATGATGAATCATGTATGGAAGGAGAGCCATAACGTTTATGGGGAATCCCACGGTGCCAGAAGGATCGACGACGGTAAGATCCATCAAAGTGGTGAACTTCGAAATTAATGCCAGAGCCGGTTCGTAAGTGTCTTTGTTGGTGAGTCCCTTGAGGACGAGAGAATGGAGGCCAGGAAAAGCGGTCCACTTCATTCGCATCTGGATGCGCTCGAGTTTCTCCCGGCAATCGGGTCGATCCAGCGGGAAGTGCGACAATACTTTGTTCAACAGTCGCAGGGCTAGGAGGAATTCGTACTCGTAGTCCGACTCGAGGACGAACGTTGCGATCCAGAAGAGTTGAGCCAGGACGGACATCTTGTCGTCCCGAGAAGCGGAATCGGCCACGACCTTCAATGACTGAGCACTGCGAGAACGAGAAAGATTGGTCACGTATCCTGCCGTCTTGTCCCTTTTCTCTCCTTCCGTTCCGCTTCTGTTCCGCATCTCTGAGACGAGATCAAAGGTACAAAATCCAACATCTTTCTACGTTCAACGACGAACTCTTCCACGTTTTGGGCTCACCTCCTCTGCGCTCTACCGTCGGAGAACCCAACACGGGTTTCCTAGTCCCGTGAGACGTGGAATAGCTGGTACTCCTCGCGTGACTTGGGATGGAAGGAGTGGAGACAAGAAAACTCTGTCCTATGGCAGGACCCACCGTTCGTCGTCCGGGCTCCTGGTCGTTCAGGTTTGGAGTCGATTTGAATAAGTCCTTGGTCGCATCGATGGCATGAAAATCACAGTCCAGGGAATCTACAGCTGTTTCGAGGGTCAGCATGATCTCGGCCACGTATCCCTGTAGGTAAATAGCACCGTACCGGAATCTGTGATGCATGCTCCCGACTCCAGCTGAGAGTTGCAAGACATTCGTACCTGCATGTCTTCGCCTTGCTCGGCGACAGTCTCGACAAGACGAGACAGGATGTCCGTCAGCACGCGAGACGTCACGGGGACCCCGAGGGCTCGGAAGACCTGTCGAGTAGAACCAGATCGACGTGGAGTTCATCGAACGGAAGAGACGGATCAAAAGAGGTAAGAGATTCCTTTACCTGTAGAGATCGCCCGGCGTAATGTCGAGACGAGCAGGAGAGAGCGACGTGGAGGGAAATCTGAGCCCAACGTTCCTCGAGGCGCGCATGTGGAAGCGAAGCCCGGAATACCCTCAAGACGCACCGCACCAGACACGACAGTTGTCCCGCACTCTTGATGTCCCACGTACGAGCGGTGATGTCCTCGTAAGCCCACAGTGCCCCATCCTTTCTGCGCCCGGTAAAGCCTCGTTCAACTAAATAATCTACGATTTCGAGCGAATAATGTAATCATGCGGTTTTCCCTACCTCGCGAAGAGGTAGTGAATGAGAGCCTTGGTGACATCCTCGACGGAGGGAACTTCAGGAGGCTCCTCGTTCGAGCCCGAACGTCCCTCGGATGCTCGACCTTCTTCCGTCGTCACTATCACGGGGACCGCCGAATCCGATCCTTCCTTCTCTTCTCCTTCTATTGCCCGAATTAAAATGAAGTATTCAATACGGGACTCGAAACTCTATTCCAAAACTGCGATCTGGGAACATTATAAGAACACACCTGGCACATGTGGATCAAATTTAGAAGACTGCTCTTGCTTTTGCTGCCGTTGCTCCTTCTGGGCCCCATGAGGATCTTCTAGGAATCTTTCCAAGTTTTCAGTAGATTCTGGAAAGCATGCAAATCCAAATTGAGGCGTGTGACACGCCTAACACGGCGGTAAGCAAATAACCATATTTAATATCATTATTATTTAATCCTGATGAAGAAAAAGCAGTCGCACTCGTGAAGTCCCACTGAAATGCAGGGGGTGTCGGAGTAGGAGGAGCGGAATGAGACGAATCTCCGCCGCATTCTCCGGAGAACGAGCAAGAGGATATGGCCTTCAACGCTGAACCTGCTACGGATAGGTGATCTCCGTGCGGGCCGAGCACGATGAGGAGTTGCGCAAGAAGGGACACGCAATGCCCCGCAACCAAGGCTCGCGTATGATCTAGTCCCAATACAAGCATGTGAAGCATGAGAGGCAAGTGAATCGTCCAATCCACGTTGACCCCTCCTGCTCCTCCCTCGGACCCACTGGACACCAGATCCGTAAGGAATAGCACTGCCAAATTGCATCTGCAAAGAAAAGTACTCTACGTACCTCAAACCTCAAACTTCAAACCCCCCTCTTTATTTTTCCCTCTTTAACACGTTGACGACCAGCCTATTTTTGCTTGTCCGCCGCGTGGGACCACGCGCATTTTTTTTATCAAAAAATGCGTCCTGCCATCAGGACGCATGGTCCCAGAAAACATTTTTTTTTGCCGAGTTTTTTTAAAATGTTGAATTTTTTGGAATTTTTATCAGTAATTACGAAATCATAATCTTCTGGAACGTTCTCAACAGTTCCAGAGGGTATTCATTGAAAAAAATCTGCATCCTGGCATCAGGACGCATTGTCGCCAACGTGTTAAAGGTCGTTGCAGTGAATTGGATGACTTCTTGAATTATCTAGAAACCGGTCTTTCATCATCTTTCCACCGCAAATGTCCGCCTAATGTATTCCCAATCGAATAACAAGCCCTTAAGGTTTTGAAGATAGACCCGGATATCATTATCAAAAAGGCTGGTAAAGTAGCTGCTATTTGTCATCCCAGATCACAATGACTACATTGACAAAGCAAATGAACAATTTAAAAAATCCCCTCCTTTCTGAGAAGCTAGATTCCGACCCTACTCGATGGATCTCATCTTTTATCACTAAGACCCTCGACATTCACATAGCTAAAACTCACATTCCGAAACATTTGAAAAAGGTCTCCTTCCCCCTAGACCAGGGGTGCACAACCTACGGTCCGCCATGACTGGTGGCGCTGCAAGTGCTACTGTGGCTCCAGCCCTGTTGGCTACAGCTATGGTCAGCCAGCAGCGGCCCGCGGTAGGTGAGTAAAAATCGCAAATGGCCCTTACAGCCATATGAGTTATGCACCCCTGCCCTAGACCTAATTCAGGTACTTTTTATGTCTTACCTAAAGTGCGCAAGAACGGCCGTCCAGGCAGACCCATTATTAACACCGTAAGTACAGCAATGGAAAGGATCTCCCCGTTTGGTCGACCTCCATCTCACCCTGCTTGTCCCCTATCTATCCTCTTTTATCAGGGACACTAGTGACTTCCTATCACGTCTGGAGGTCATCAATAGAGAAGGGTTCCCGCCAACTACGGCTCTTGCCACAGTGGACGTCCAATCCCCAAACACATCCATAATGCATGAAGGCATTGATGCATGCAGACATTTTCTTAATCTGAGAACTAATCCTACAACACCTACTGACACTATCATGGATTTTTTCTTTCATTTCAACAGCTCCAACTACCTCCAATTACATGGAACTGCAATGGGGTCCAAGTGTGGATGCAGTTATGCCTGCCTTTTCATAAGAAATTGTGAAAAAAACCACCCTCGCTGACATTCCCTTCAAATCTTACCTGTGGCTCCGCTTTAGGGACAGTATATTTATACTTTGACAATATGGATCAGACGAATTCACTGACTTTATTAACACCCTGAATGCCGTTCACCCGACCATCAGAGATCCTTCTCAAGGCGTCTCCAAGAATTAATAACCTATCTCATAAAACGAGGCTTCTCCACCATAATAATAAGTACGGCTTTTTAAAAGGCTCTTGATCGTAATAAGAAACCTAAAGTGATTCCACCAATGAATCTTAAACTTAACTTGTACTGCGATGACCGCCGCCCTGTTTTCACTGTCAAATTTGACAACCGCATCACTTAGATCCATGACGTGATTCACAAAGGTTTCAAACATTTCTTTAAAACTGACGATCTCAAAAAGGTTTTCCTTCATCCACTACTGGTCGCTTTCAAGCGACAGAGAAGCCTTGAAGATATTCTCATTCGTTCTGCCCTGACTCCCATCAACAATCCCGATCATGACTTTACTCTCTGTTCCGGCAACTGCTGCCCTATCCATCATAATGCTGAAGAAAAATATGATTTTGCTTCGTCAAAAACACGCCAATCATTTAAAATATCCTGTCATCTTTGACCTGATCCACCCCCAACGTAATATACCTGATCATCTGTAAAGTGTGCGAAGCTCAGTACTGTATATAGGCGAGACCGAAAGGCAGTTTTGCGACCAGTTCGGTGTACTTGTGTTCCATGTACTCTACGTACGTCAATTTCCTTCACCACCACATCGTGACGATGAGAATGCATCGGATCCCCGTTGGAAGTCACAACTGAGGGCAAGAATCGGAAATCATAACGGGAATCACCTAGGGAAGAAACCACGCACGCACGAATGCGAGCAGTAGAGTTTTTCGCGTATGCCAGAAAACTCGGAGGCAAAAAAACGTGCCGCCATGAAAGTCATTTGACATTTCGAGTTGTTTGTGTGAAACCACTGATGAGTGTTACAAATAACAACAATTGGTGTTGCAATAACTCCGAATGGATGCAGTTAAAGCAATGAAGGGAAAATCCATACTAAATAGCGAGGACTTTCTATGCCTTGTTATGTGTAGTACAGTCGACGCTCGATAGGCCGATAACGAACTTCTACACAACGAATTTTTCTTTTACGAAAATTTTTCAAGTTCCCAGCTGTTTGCTTATTCACAAGCATGTTGAAAAGTTTCTCTAAAACAAAGTTCTGTATAAGGAACTGTTTGGTATCACGAAGTCATTTTTTCGTCTGAAGAAATAAAAACTGTCCGGTATTGCGAAGTTTAAATTTGTAGCACACGTCTGAGTTACTATCTTTCGTGCATTCCTGTAAAATCTGATATCATATGAAAATTTAGCAAGTTTCATGAAATGAGTGTGGCCGTGGGAAGTAAGGGAGCGACGTCAGTCTATCTTAATCTCAGGATCATAAGGATCTGGCTCAGGCCGAGTCCAGAATTCAACTCGGTCAGGCAATCGAAGCCTTCGACTATCTTCGACTGCTCTTGAGTCAAAGTTCAGTCTGAAACTTTTCAAACATTGAGCGCACAGGGTTGGTAAATCGTCCGATTTTCATTACATCCACACAAGTACTTACTGCCATGCAAGCCCATTTATCCGAGTCTCAGTTAAAAAAAAAAACTTTGTTGGGGGCTGAGAGGTGGGGGTTGGGGTAGGAGGGGAAAAAAAAGAGGTTTTTCTCAACTAATACAGGGATAGTTACGCCCTAAATGGCTTGCCCGACATATTGCAAACTGCACATTTGCAGTATGACAGTGCTTAGACCATCGCATTTTTTTCATGACTTGCTCTTTTGCAATAAACGTTTTGAAGTGATATTGGCAAAAACTTCGCAGGTCTCCTTTTCTTCAGCGAAATGTGATGAATTCCCTTTCACGAAATTGTTTAGCCTGTACCTTCGGATTACTAACATCGAGCCTCGACTGTACACGTGCTTACCAGTCGCAGAGAAGAAGGCGCGCAGCAATTTAAACTGTTAGATTTGGAAATTGGTCATTGTTACAGTTTATTACGTTCTAGGATATATGCTCCTACATATGGCCTTCCATAACAATTTAAAAGTATTTCTCCGCACTTGGTTTAGCACTTTGAAGATCACAATTGAAATATTTCGAAAGGTTAGCATTTAATTCATCACCAGATTTTATTATTTGGTCACTCAATGAATTTGCATCACCAAATTCTTATTACCATCACCAAATGATTTCATCACCAGACCTGATGAATCTTAAACCAAATTCTCCCTCAGTATTTTCACTAGATGCCATGAAATGACCACCAAATTTGATTGACTTAGCACCAAATCATTGTCACATTTTATGCGTCAAAAGATATAAATTTTTATTTTAGCGGGTCTGCAGGGGAGAACACACTGACTATCCCGGCTGTTAATGAGCATTCCGAGTGAATGTTTGCCAGTCTTGATCCAAACAGGGCATGTGCATTCAAAACTTGGAACTCTCACAACTCAGAGGGAGAGTCTTGTTCTTTTCAAGTTCTCCTAATGTTCCAATTTTCTGATTAGATACTCTTGTGCACTTTTAGGAACCTCTTCCATGTGGCGTTGCCGTCACTACAGGCAATGAAGGCGTCTCCTTGTTTCAATGTCCTCTAACCCTCTAGTTGCCAAGGCATCTCTAATACATAGAGCACACAGAAACTGGAAGTCAGCGCCGTACACAACTCCCACACAAGTGCAAGGAGACTACCCAAACAGCATGTTTCTGTTAATTTTACGTAAAATGAATGCAACTTTTTTGCCTATTTTATATCATTTTTACGCAAACCATTGTCAAGAAAATGTCAACATGTTTGCAGAAATGTCACCTCTGTGATACGTAAAAGGTGATGTAAAATTAACGTCAATTTTACGTAAAATTGACATTCCCGTTTGCATTCCNAACCGATTTGGCCAACTTTTTCGTAGCGCAGCCGCCAGAGTTCTATTGGAATGGCATCCATAGTTTGCATAAACGTTGGCGTGAAGTGATAGAGGCCAATGGTGATTACATTCATGATTGAGATGATTTTGCTTTTAAATAAACTGGGTTGTAATAATTGTTCATGAAATTCCGAGAACTTTCTTTCCAATCAGATATAACCGCCAATTAGTTTGCTTTTCTTTCTGGACCAGGTGCAGTTTTCAAGGGTTCTGTTTAAGACTTCATTGACAGAACAAATGAATGTCCATTTCGACTTTGCTCCCTTTCGACATTTTGACTTTCAACATTTCATTCCTTCGACGTTCAGGAATTCGACATAGTTGGTAATCGACAATCGGACAGTCGACATGTGTGTTTTCGACATTTTGACGGGATACGAATATACGAGTATTAACGCTAATATTGGCCCGATGTTTTTCCGGGTAGTAATCCCAATAATGATCTAAGGTGGATGCTAATACCGGGCCAATGTGTATGTTCCTTGGCAGTTGATATTGATATCTTGTTTACGTGAACATGCTGCTTGGGTAGTTACACAGGCCCTCCTCCGAAGGTCCCCCAAAGCATGATATGATCTTACAATCTCATCTTGCCATCAAGTGTCTAACCGGAAATAATGAAAAATCCTTTCCTTGATAGGGTTGCAGATGTTGAAAATGTCAAAGTTTGATGATGATAATGCAGATTTGGTGATACCAGCACCTGTGATGGTGGAATCATATTTGGTGAAATCAAAAATAAGAATTTGGTGACAGACTCCAATTTGATGAAGATTCATTGTGATCTGTTGACGGAGTCTATATTTTTGCGGGCAAAAAATATTTGGTGACAAGTTCATTATTATTAGGTGGGTGATTCTTTCATTTTCTTTCATTTCAAAAGATTATCTTTCATTTCAAAATCCCTGCCCGTTAGTCTCTCGCCGAAAGAGAAAAGTCAGTATACTTAATCAACTTCGCACTAACTCGTCCATCGCGTTAGTTTTAATCAGGATCTTGCCTATGGCAGTCACAGCTGCATAAGAGCGTGTTTTCAGGACGAACGTGTGCCCTGACTTCATTCAAAGAGCGATTCTTCACTGGAGACTGCGACTGAATGTTGTCGTCCAGATGCAAGGATGGCCCATCATGGACCAAATTCAGTGAGTGTCCTTGGACGAATGGTGGCTTCCAATTATTTTACTCGCGAACTTCGAAGTGCTTTTATGAATGAACCAGCATTAGGAATATTCAGAAATAAAATTGCAATTAGAGGCATGATGTACAGGGTGGGCCAAAAAAAACAAACAAAGCTATCATTTTTGGTAAGCTGTCAATCTGATTGTATGCAACCGATTTTGATTACATTTGGTATACACATAGGGTGACGCAATTAGGGTTTGTGTGCCAAGTTTCAAATAAAAATTACAAAAACTGTGAGATTGGCATTTAATTTACTTTTCATCACCAAAAAAGTGAGTGTTCATTTTTTCTTTCAGCTTTAAAATTCTAACAACTGACAGAAACAAACAAGCAAGCAAACAGAAAAAGAATAGATGCACAAATGCCAAGCACGAAAGCTCACATTTGGTTTAGGGACGTACATTTCAGCTGAAAAGGTGCTCAATGTGCCCTCCATTCCGTTGAACGCAAGCCTGTAGTGTGGGACACCACAGATCAATGGCTCGCTCAATAAACCCTTGAGGCAGTGCCTCCCAATCTCCCTTTGTAGCATCATGCAGGGATGGAAGGTCAATGAATTCGGACCTCCGTTTCATCCCGGCCTCAGGGTCATATCGATATTTTCGACAGCACATTTTGTCGTTGGTCATCAGAAGATAATTACAACTCCTATCATTTTGAAGCCAGGTGGCTGAAATTTGGTATGTGAACTCCAATTGTGTATAAGCCTACCAATTTTTTAAAAATCAAAATCGACAGTCTACAAAGAGATTGACGACTCTTCAAAAATGATAGATTTGCTTTTTTTTGGCCCACCCTGTATATGTATACCTACTGGAACACACACAGCTGCAGCTTTGACTGGTTTTCATATATGAACAACGCCACAGAGACGCATTTTTTTTTCCTCTCCTGGTACGTATTTCTACACGACACAATTTCACTGGAAAGGGCAGAAATAGCTCCTTAATAAGGATATAACTGATATAACTCCAACTCCAGGAGAGTTGCATGACCCATTATCTGGAGAAATGAACGAAGACAAAAAATTCCTGAGTGTCTGTTTTTTAATGGACCGAAGACTTACCAAAACCATAGCAATCAATGTTTTACGAAGTATTGATTTGACACGAAATGATCCATGTGGATAACTTGGCCTTTCACAGTGATACTGCATTAACATGCCACGTGTCAACAGTCCTCATTAGCTGTGAATAGCAGGTTTCAATTAAGCAGCATTTCACAATATGATGCACTTGTCACATCGACGTTTTACATGGACTACAATCTCATAACCCTAGACACACAAAAGAAAACAAGTTTCATCACCTTGCTCTCAGAATTTTCAGTATGTCAACACGCTTGATTCCTATGATTTGAATTGCTGGATGCGTGAATAGCAATAAAATGGGGTAGAATAATGCTGATAGATATCATTACGGATGTAATAATGTGTGTACAGATGTAATCAATATCTTATTGCTATCTCCGGCTAATGCTATCAGCCTTTTATTGTTATCAAAACACGAAAACCAAAACCAAATCCTATATTAACCATAATATTTTTTTAGGCTAATATTATCAACTCTGCCGGCTATTGTTATAAAAACATTTTTACCCAAGTCGTAAAAATAACCCTATTCGGAACCAGCTTCTTGCTATCTGTTGATCTTTCGATGACATTATTGTGGACATGAAAACAAAAAAAGAGGATGATTCTGACGATTCAATTTCGAAGAGCGGACTGTTCCTGGGTTTAATGAAACCAAAGCTGCAACGAAGACTGTGAGGAAAGTCCTTGAGCTTCCTGGCGGGACTGAGTGCGACTACAAACTTTTTTTTTATAAACTTGAATCTAGACTGGAAGAAATGATAGCTAAAGACCTTAAACAACAAAAAATTGATAAATTTCTTCGAAATTCCCTGCGATGAGGCAAGTTGCCATGCATCCTGATTTGAATATTTTCATTTTGTATCATACAGGACAAAATTTTTCATTATTATATTATTTTATGTTCATGCAGACTTTTTGAAAAAGACTAAGCAAATATCCTTTTTAATTCAAAAAGAAAATGTTTATAAATTCATAAGTTCCCTTTTTTAGGCCTCCAGAATCTAATTTTTTGTACGTTCGACCATGATAGAAGTTTCTCATCCATTGCAAACAACAGTGGGAAATCTAACTTAACTGAGAATAGTCACCTCTATACGTCAAGTGCCACACCCAGCAGCACCGCAATATTGAATCAATATCAACTGCCAAGGAACATACACATTGGCCCGGTATTAGCATCCACCTTAGATCATTATTGGGATTACTACCCGGAAAAACATCGGGCCAATATTAGCGTTAATACTCGTATATTCGTATCCCGTCAAAATGTCGAAAACACACATGTCGACTGTCCGATTGTCGATTACCAACTATGTCGAATTCCTGAACGTCGAAGGAATGAAATGTTGAAAGTCAAAATGTCGAAAGGGAGCAAAGTCGAAATGGACATTCATTTGTTCTGTCAATGAAGTCTTAAACAGAACCCTTGAAAACTGCACCTGGTCCAGAAAGAAAAGCAAACTAATTGGCGGTTATATCTGATTGGAAAGAAAGTTCTCGGAATTTCATGAACAATT